GCCCGCCATACTACACACTCAATTACCTGTCAGAGAACAGGCCACGCACCTACCGAGGCGGCTGCTTATAAGGCAGGGGCGTGGTTTAACACATCTTCATTGTGACTGGCCAGCCGGTCTCCCAATCAGGGACTTGCATCCATCTGGACCCAATCAGAGACACGTTATAAATTCAAATCCCGCCGCGTGGGCGGACGAACATGAGAGCTGTGGGGAGGGAGGGAGAAAGGAAGGAAACAGAAGGCGAGTGTGATGTTACGTAATGTCACGTACGGAAGCGGTTGTGTGCGACTGCGAGAGCGAGATCCAGCCCATGTGGGTGCAGCATGGGGACCCCAGGAGGAAAAATCAACCGGCCCCGAACGGTGACTGAGAGCTCCCCCCCACCCACAGTGGGGACCCCAGGAGGGAAAATCAACCGGCCCCAAACGGTGAATGAGAGCTGCCCCCCAGCCTTACCCCGCGGTTCCCCCTCAGAACCCCCCGCCCGCACAGCTGAGGGCGCATCGTTTCTGCAGCCGCTGTGCCTCTCATGGGGTCTCCTCTGCAATCCCTCTCGTGGCCTCAAACCATCTTCTGGGGCTTTCTTCGGCACCTCCATTGACCCCATAACTCAGCCCCGCCTCTCCTTTGTGTAATGCCTAGTCCCGCCTCAGATGCCTTTGGCGGGTTCCCCTTCCTTATCTTTGAGATTACCCCGCCTCATAGCCAGAAACCCTCTTCTGAAACACATTGTCTCCTTGGGACACCAGCCCATCGTCCCTCTCCTCCACATGTAGCTCTGATCTATGGCATTTCTGCAGTGCTGAGCCCCAGACCCTGGGCTCCCTGCTTTGCCCCAACTCAGTACAGAGCTGGGGAGCCCCACTGGGTGGTGGTGACTGACCAGCAACTTCAAAGAATTTGCAGTGAGTTTCTCAGCTCACTATGGGATGAATAGGCTGGGGTGTGTGAAAGATTTTCCATCTCTCCAACCCCCAAATTCTCTCCAGCTTCCAACAACCAGCAAGCTTCTCCCTTCTCCATTGTCATTTGCTTTATGATCTGGATTCTGTAATGTTTTGCTGGGTCTGTGACTTTGCTTCCTGTGCCTCCTACACTCCTTCCACCCAGTTTCCCAGCCGCTTGGCTAGTCCAGAGGTGCTATTAGTATCTGGTGGTGAGTTAAGAGCATTGTGCTTTTCTTCCATTAGGAGCTGAAGAAAAAACTTTTCAAAAGATGCCAGGTTTTAAGAAAAGAAGGAAGCACAGGATCACAGGAGCTGTGGTGGATGAGGGACTGATCACCATCCATCACCTGAAGAAGCGTGGGTGAGTCACCTTGTTTCCCCCCACCCTGAAGATCCAGATATGCTTTCAGTCAGAAGGCCAGAGAAGAGCAGTTAACCATCCCAGCCCCTAGAAACATTCAGACCTCAACATCTCTTCAAACACCTTGGTTCTGTCATCAGCCCTGAGAGAGCAGTGGGGCCAAGTAGTTAAAGCAGGAGTGGGCAAAAGGGCCTCTGCAGGCTGGATCTGGCCCACGGAGGTCCTGCTGCTCCCCCATCCCCAGGCCAGTCAGAGCCTAGGTATGGGAGAGCGCTTGGCGCTTAGAGTCAACCGTTCAGAACAGCTGGTGGTTCTCTCTGGGGCGTGTGGGGGCAAAGACTTCATGTTCTTACCCACCCATAGACCAATCAGGGTCTGTAGCTGGAGAAGCATGGAAGTGTCCTGGCTCTGCTCCTTCCATCTGAGCCCCCTGCCTCTTCTAGGGTGGCTCCGGGGCCACTTGAAAAATTGAAGTAGCCCTTGGTCAAAAATGATTGCCCACCCCTGGGTTAGAGCAGGGGGCCCTGGGCTCCAAGATTCCTAGTTGCTGTTCCCAGCTCTGGGAAGGGAGAGGTAGGGGGGTCTGTATTTTTAACGTGCAGCTCTTCTTCTTACTATTGGACTCCAGTGAGCATCTGCAGCTGAGAGGTAGGAGGGTTCAGCTGCCTCTCTTGGCTATTATTCTATCTCTGGGTTTAATAGGGCTTTGGGTATCTTCCACCCACAGTTCCAGCTCACGTGCCAACATTACCCTCTCAGGGAAGAAACGGAGGAAGCTGAGGAAGCAGATTCTTTACGCCACCAAGGAGAGAGACACAATGCAGAGTAATCCTTTCCTGACAATGAACTATGGGGATCTGAGGGAAGGTGTGTGTGGTCAGGGTCCTGCAGTGAGTCAGTAACCCAAAGGGGGTAGGGGAAGCTAAGAGCAGGGATGGATAGACTGCTCAGAACGAGGACAGAGCTCAGGGTCTCCCAGCTCCTAAAATTTAATGACACCCACAATCCCCAGAATCTTCTGGGGCTTCTTGGCTAAAACAGCATCCAGTGCTGGAATGGGCCACAGAAGGGCTGAGATCAAATTCCTACCTCCACCACAGACTCCCTGTATAGCTTTGAGGAAGTCACTTCATCTCTCTGGGCCTCAGTTCTTAGCCTGTTGAATGGGGATAACTTACTTTCTCGCACCCTATTTAAATGGAATGCAGGGACTATCTTCTTGTCTGTGTGGTGTCATGGGAGGTCCCCTCATCTTGGGCTGGGTCTGTGTGGTGTGATAAGGATCACATTACTGTTATGCATGCACTAATGGTTTTCCTCCTTTCTTGGGCAAAGTTGAAGCTGTGAACCAGGCACAGACAAAAAAAATCACTGGCAGTGGAAGGAAGAAGAAACCTACAGCCTCCCAAGATGTGGAGATGAAGGAATCGGAAGCAGGGCCAGGACTGGACAGCTGAACTACTTCCACTGGCTCCAAAGCCTGGCATCTCCATCACCCATTTGCTGCATTGGTGCCTGCAGTTCTATGACTTTCCAGAGTCCTTTCCACAATTACTGGAAGTAGTATCTTGTTCTCATTCCCCTGGCTCTATTTTATGCTGGACCCCTAGGTGGGCAGCTCCCAGCACCTTTGGCTTTAACCTGCTTTTCTGGAGGTGAAGTAATACCAATCCTATCTATGTGGGAAGTGACTGGCTGAACTGGGGCTATGTGTGACTCTACAGTATTTTGTCAAAGAAATAAAGAAATAAAATCATGACTGGTCCTCCTGCAGGGTCAGAGGCACTTGATATCTCAGCTTGTTTGTGCTGCTACCTTAGGGACTTTTCATTGTGGCCCCAGCTCCCACTGCCTGGGCCGAGCAAGGAGGTAAGTCAGGTCAAGAAAAGGCGCCTTTGGGAGAGGGAAGGGGGACAGTGGCTGTGTGTGAAATGAACCACTTTGGCGCTTACCATCTCCCTCTGGCCAGACCCCTAAAGAGACAAGTAAGGGTGGGAGGGACTCTTTTTGTAATGAAAAGTCTGCATAGCCTTTGGGAGACAGGAATTGAGCTGGGCTAGGTGGGTCTCAGGCCAGTGGCTGTGTTGGTTCATTCCCCTTCTGGGTGAGCATGGGGAAAGGCTCCTTCTGGAGCAAGGGTCAGACTGTTGGGTGTGTTTCTAGGGCAGTGATTCCCAATTTTATTTGGCCATGGAACCCTTTTAAACGTTAAAGAATTTTGCAGAACCCCTAATAACAGTCTTATATATGGACCAGGGTATATGAGCAAGCTAGGAATGCAGGGTCTTGGCAGGGGAGTGAGTGAGGGAGATTTGGGTGTTGGGTCTGGGTGTGAGGGGGGACACTTACCTAGCTTGGCACCCTGCTGTAGACAGGAAAGCCTCCAAGCAGCATGCTCTTGTTCCCCCAGCAGGGGGGTGAGAGAGGGAGCTCAGTTGTCCCATGCAGCGGGGATCTCAGCACAGTTGCAGCCAGCACCAGGTCAGGCTTCCCCCTGGCAGGGCGGGGACAGGGGGGGACCTGTAGTAACCCCAACCTTCCCTGCCAGACCAGACTGCCACTTCCCCAGCAGGATGGGGAGGGCCGCAGGGGAGAGAGTGGCAGCGCATGGGGGGGGTGGGGCAGCGTGCCCTGAGCGGAGGAGCGCAGAGCCCTAGCTGAGTTCCAGGGGCCGGGGCACAGGCAGCAGTTTAAAAATCCTGAGGTCCGAGAGCGCCTTGGACCCAACCACCCCTCTCCTCCTGGCAGCAGTGGCTGCTGTAACAAGCCGCCCCGTACTGGAGGCCCCGTGGGACAAGGTCAGTCCTGTGGGGTGAGGAGGGGGCCACACTGTGGTGGGGCAGTTGCAGTGGGTGGTGGAGAGGCACGCTGCCAGAAGCCTGCCCCCGCTATGGGCTTTGTACGGGGGAATAGAATTTTATCACAAAACCCTTAGTTTCACTTTGTGGAACCCCAGGGTTCCGTGGAACACCATTTGGGAAACACTGCCCTAGGGAAACTCCTATTGTCTTAGTGCAGCTGTGACCAGGTGCAGCAGCCTTTGGTGGCTGAAAACCCAGGGTACCTTCTCCAACTCCAGTTAGCAATAAACAGACTCGGGATGTCCTGACTTTCATGCTGTTGTGATGGTTTCCTTTCAGGGTGGGATGCTGTCCAGACACAGAGATCCCTTAAGATGGGGTGGGGAACCTAAGGCCTGGGGCTTGCCTGCATCTGGTCCCCAAGGCTAGGGGCTTCCCCCCAGCATTGAGGAGCCAGTGCTGGTTCTCCAGCTCTCCTGCTGTCTCCCCATGGAGCTGGAGCACACACAATCTAGCCTGGGCCCTCCCTAGCCTCTGGTGGTGCTAGGGGAATGTGGGGAGTGTCTTTCTCCTCAGTTGGTGAGGGGTTTTTGGTTTTGTTTTTCACTGTGTGTGGCCCTTGACTGATTTTCCTGTGGGTCCCTGACCCTAAAATTGTTCCCCACCCCTGTTTTAAGATCATACATTTGGGGGAGGAGGGATCAGGAAGAACTCTAGGGAAGAGGCCAATTTAGCTCCAACCTTACACCTACTGCTGGACTGCATAGTCTGTACAAGGTGGTGGTAGGGTTGCCAGGTGTCTGGTATTTTTGGCTTTTGTCCGGTAAAATATTCAGAGAATACTGGACACCGGGTTCCCCAAGACTGCTGGCACAAAATGGCTGCCTGCCAAAAGATCCCTGTATGTAAAGGGGACATGCTGTTTTATTTAAAAAAAAATTTTTTTAGGCTTAAGTCCTTGGAGCCCCTTTTTTTTCTTTCTTTCTTTCTCCCCCCCCCCTCCTTTTTTTCCCTTCAACAGAATTTTTTCACTGTTGTTTTTTTTTTGGGGGGGGGGGGCATGTTTGGTATTTTTGTTTCAACCATCTGGCAACCCTAGGTCATGGGGGTGCATGACTGAAGGGAAAAGAGGGGTTGGATGCATTATTACTGGCCACAGCAAACTTGGTTGGGGCATTGCCAAGATAGTCCCATCTGAGCCCCAAGGCAGAATTGCCTAGTGGGCACAGCATGTTATATACCACAGGATCTTGCTGATGGAGAGTGAGGCAGGATGCTAGCCTGAAGGGGCCACATTAGCCAGGTCTCCCAGCCCTGCTCTCAGTAATTGACAATGCTTCTGTGGATGGTAGGGGGATAGGGAGAAAGCTCTTCATGGATACAAAAAAATTGGATCTGCAAAGATGGCAAACAATACAACCACAATCATGGATGTAGATAGCTGTGTATTGAAAGTTAGTATTTGCATATTTGCAAGGTTCTAGGGTAAGCATACGCTTTATTGCTTTCAATAGGAGGGCAGGCCTCTGTCCTGAGAGGGATTGTGGTGGGTGGTACCTACAATGGTTGTCCCAGCAATAGTGCTGGGGGACTGCAATGGCTGGAAGGAGGTGGTGCCAAGATCCAAGCCGGGGCGGGCAATAACATGGTGGCAGTTCACTAGGGTTAGCCCCTGATGAGTGGCCAGTGCTTTACCTGCATGGCTGCAGGTATCAGTGATCACAGCTCCTGTTGGCTGTGAATCACTGTACCCAACCAAAGGGAGCAGAGTGGACCAGGGCACTGCTCCCTGCAGCTCCCATTGGCCAAGAACGGCAATCTGCAGCCAACGGGAGCTGTGGTCACCAGTACCTGCAGCCATGCAGGTAAATATAGTGGTGGGGGCCCATCAGGCGCTAACCCTGGAAAACCTGTCCTGCAGGCTGGTATTTGCTCCCCCCCCCACAAAAAAAAAATTAAAGAAGCAGATATTAAGAATTGTAATTCAGAGCTGCTACGTAAGACCTTATTAGGTTTCTCAAAGTAGGATCTCTTCCCTTGAGGATGGTACCAAATTGGTGAGGAATGTCATTGGTCAAACTCTATTTCTAAATATACTTTACACATCAGGTATTTAGTAAATAAGGTCATGTAAAGTGAAATTCACCTCTGCGCACAAGGTCTTGTGCAGGGGCACTCCACACTGAAGTGAATTTGAGTCTTATTGCCTTCTGTAGGTTGAAATAATCCAACTATGTACTGCATATTGGTTGTAATTGTACTAGGTGAACGTCAACATAAGATCCCCATAATGAAGCCCTTATTGTGGTATAATTTCCTTACTGCAAGACTTTCCAGTCAAAACAATAAGGTCTCAAGTATTTCTAAGCAGATATTTTTTAAAAAACATGACTGTCACTATGTAGGTTTTCAGGACATGCGTGATGTGTGGGTTTCCAACTGTGGCATACAAAAATCTTTCCATTGGAAAACTCATTATGTAAACATTATTGTAATCTAAGAGGACCTTTCTATTAGGTTTACCAGCGCACCGGGACTGGAACCTTCATAGCGGCACTGGGGCCGGAGGGCCCGTTTCACTGTTACACCTTCCCCCAGGACGCAGGCGCGGAGTGAGCCTGGCTGCTGCCACTGGGACCCCCCCCCCGTGTCCGCGCTGTGCGACCCCCCGGGAGCGGCGCCGCCGCAGACCCCGGCTCACGGGGCCCACCCGCCGCTCAGGTGCCAGGGGCCCCCCGGCAGATGTCCGACCGGGAGCCCTCCCAGTCCCACAGTCCCTCCCACCCCCGGGCAGGGACCTCTCACTGGGAATCCCCCGAGAGCCCCTCTCAGGCAGGGACCTCTGCCTGGGGACCCCCGTCCACGCCCCCTTTTCTCCTCCTGCGCCTCAAAGCCCCCTCCCGACGCAGGGACCTCTCACTCAGAACCCCAGGGACGTCCCATGGGCACTGTCAGAATCCCAACCCCGCCCACTGGGGCTCCCCTTGCCATTCCTGGCAAAGCTTCCACTGGGAACCCTCCTTTGGGGTCTTGAGCCCTTCAGTCTCCCTCTTTCTCCAGGCCCTTCCCTGACTGGATCACACCTCCCAAGAACAGGGACTCCTTCCCCAACCTCCCACTGGGAAATCTCCAACTCTGCCCTGGGAATCTGTGCACTGATACCCCCAGCACTCCTCTGCTTCTTGGCAGGGACCTCCCAAGCAGGAAATTCCAATTTCTCCAAGTTTTGTACATCCACAACCCACCTAACCAGATCACCCAACTGTCCCTGATAGGTATCTTCCACCACCAGTCCCTCCCTGAAATCCCCTCCTTTCCTATGTCCTGGAGACTCATGATAGTTTTGCAGGTCTGTGCTCTCCTGAGTCACATGATGCTGCTTGATGTCCTTGGGTTGGTGGGGGAGTAATATTTAAAACTCAGCCCCAGTAGGTTGTTGGATACCATCCATGTTATAATAAGGGATTCCCTAATGAGCAAGAAAGGGAACTGCAGACTAGCAAAGCCTTCATAGGATGACTGGGCCTGTTTCCCACTTAGTGCAGTGGGTCCCCTCCACCCATTTTTCCAGATGCTAAAACCACGTGAAGATGAATGTTGGGGTCCTATATCTTGTGTTCTGGAGCTCAAAATCCTTCTGGGATGTCAGGCTGCTACTTGGACAACTATATACTGCCCATCCCTGCAATATCTTTGTGCCTCACACTCACCCTTATGGCACCTTTTTTATCCCCACAGACCAGAACTTAGGTGTCCTGGTTCTGTTCTGAGTCAAGTGCCCTACCCACTAGACATCCCCTCCCTTTCTGGATAGAATGCAGGCTGGTGATGGGAGGAGATTGGAGTCCAGGCCTCAGAAGAGGTTGGAGTGAACATCCCTGCTTGCAGCCTGACGCTTTCTGTGTTTCCCCCTCTTCCTCATAGTTCCCAGGAGCTGGCCCAGGAGATCAAAGCCTTCCTGAGTGGTGCAGACCCTGTGCATGGTAACAAGCTTACCATCAAGGAGCATGCCCGCTGTGCCATCCTGCTGCTGCGCAGCTTGCCACCTGCGCGCAGCGCCGTGCTGGACCATCTGCGCAATGTATTCGATGAGTATGTATGCACCTACCTCTTAGAACTAGAGAGCAGCGAGGCAGGACTAAGTGCTGGGCGGACTCAGGGGCCCAACTTGGATGATGTGGTGCAGGAGATCCAGAATGTGCTGTCTGAGTTTGTCCGCATGAACCCCAAGGCCTGGGCACCTGTGGTCTCAGCCTGGTCCATTGACTTGATGGGGCAGTTGAGCAGCAAGTACGCAGGGCGGCACGGTGTGCCCCACGCCTCCAGCCTCAATGAGCTGCTGCAGCTGTGGATGTCGTGCAAGGCCACACGGACGCTGATGGACATCTACACCCAGTGCCTGTCCTCCATGATCAACACCTGCCCTGATGCATGTGTGGATGCTCTGCTGGACACCTCAGTGCAGCATTCTCCGCACTTCGACTGGGTGGTGGCTCACATTGGTTCCTCTTTCCCCAACACCATCATTAGCCGTGTCCTCTCCTGTGGCCTCAAGGACTTCTGCGTACACGGGGCAGCCCCTGTCGACCTGCTCTTCCCCAGTGCTGCTGACAAGCGCGTGCCCAAGATTGCCTCAGTGGTGGGCATCTTGGGCCACCTGGCCTCGCGCCACTCAGGCAGCATCAAGCAGGAGTTACTGCGGATGTTTCATGAAAGCCTGGGCCCCATGCGTGACCAGCAGCAGAAAGCTACTGTGCCCTTCCTGCTGCAGCTGGCCGTCATGTCACCCATGCTGCTGGGGACCATCTCTGCTGAGCTGGTGGACTCCCTCAAGCCGAGCGTGCTGAGCCAACTGCACCAGCACTTTGCTGCACTACCTCGCGAGGACCTAGAGAACATGGTGAGCATTGTGGTGCATCTCATCTGCCAGACGTCAGCAGGGGCCTACCGTATCCTGCAGTTCCTGGTAAACACAGCCATGCCAGCCTCGGTCATCACCACGCCAGGGCTGGCCGTCCATGACAGCGTGCGCGAGGCCTGTGACCGTATCATCCAGCTCTTGCTGCTCAACCTGCAGAAGCTGGTGTACAACCGGGGCACAGCCAGCCTGGGGGATGCCCCACCCCGGGCTGTGCCCTTCCTAGATGAGCTGAAGGGCCATGTGCGGGAGCTATGTGTGGAGACACTGAGGCTAGAGCGCAAACGCTTCTTGTGGCAGCACCAGCTTCTTGGGCTCCTCTCAGTCTACTGTACCCCCAGCTGTGCCACAGATGCCCTCTTCTACCTGCTGACGCTGGCCCGGAGCCAGGAGGAATTGGGCCTAGCCACCCAGCTCTATGCTGTTCTGAGCTCCTGTATGAGTGACCTGCTGCCAGCTACTGTCAAGAAGTGCGTGTGCCAAATCCACATGGGGGGGCTGTCAGAGCAGCACATGGTGCAGCTGTTCCACAATCTGGCCTTGATTGTACAGTGGGAGGGGGAGGGTCCTGCCTCCATGAGTGCCCAGCTAGGAGCTGTCCTCTCTCTGCACCTCTATGATCTTGGGCAGCTGTTGCTCCATCACAATCCGGAAGTGGCTGAGGCTGCCTCCTTGCTGCTCTCTGTCTGCCCCATGCCCCAGACCATCCGGCCAGCTCACCTGCTTGTCATCATCCGCTCAGCTGTGCACCAGTTCTTCCTGGTGCTGCATCGCCAGTGCCCTACAGGCATCAGCTACAGCAGCCGGCTGCTCTCAGCTGCCATGAAGGCTATCCTGCAGCAGCTGGTGGAGGGAGCACTGCACCCAGGGAACGCTGAGCTCTTTGGGGGCCTGGCTGAGCTGCCTACTGGGGATGATGCCGGCCTGGAGGGTGCCAGGGTCTCCCTATTGGACATTAACCGGCGCTTCACAGCTGCTGTCAACTTCTCTGGCAGCGTGTGGTCTGTATTCCATGCAGGGGTGATTGGGCGTGGGCTGAAGCCATCCCATCCCCCCAGCCGGCAGGAGCCTGAGGAGATTGTGCACAATGTCCAGAACTTCCTGAGCCTGCTGGTGCGCTGCTGCCGGGGTGGATGCTACAGTGCACCTGAGCCTCTGACCCAAACAGCAGCTGTCAACCCCGAGGCAGCCAAGGTGGTGGCTGTGGTGCTGGTGGAGAGCGTCTGCCCTGATGTCACCAACAGCGAGCTTGGCTGGCCGCCTGAGGAGCACACCCGCACCACTGTGGAGCGTGACATCCAGATCTGCCGACGCTTCCGTGACAACCCGCTGCTTTTCCAGCTGCTGCGATTGGTGGCAGCTGGCCCACCAGCCCTGTGCTACTGCTCTGTGCTGCTGCGTGGCCTGTTAGCCACCCTTATGGCCCACTGGGAGGCCTCCCGTCACAGCGACACCACCAGCTCACCATGGCACCTGCATGCCTCCTGCATCCTGGTGGCTTGCATGGCAGAGGGCTCCCTGCTGCCACCTGTGCTTGGCAACATGCATGAGATCTTCCACCAGTTGGTGCCCTTTGAGGTGCATCTGCTGCTGCTGAGTGTCTGGGACTACATGCGGGACAACAGCCCTTTACCCCAGAAGTTCACCTTCCAAGCTGATAAAGGGCTCTTCTTCCGTGACTTCTCCCGTGACTGTGATGTTGGGAAGTACCTCTGCGTGCTGCACAATGTGCTGCACAAGAACATCGACCGCTTGGGGCTGCTGTCAGGGCGCTTCCAGCCTTAGCGCTGCCCCCCATCTTAGGACAGTCCTGGACTCCCTGCACCTCCCAGGGCATGACTACTCCTGCCATCTCAGGGCAGTCACAGACTTAGCTCCTGCCCCACTCCTAACACACTGCAGGGGCTGCTGCTTGGAGGGGGAAGCATTTGACTTGTTTTTTAACCAATTAAGAATAACTGTAAAATTCTCCAAGGGTTCATTTGGGAAGCTGAGAGTGAGGGGGTCCTGGCACCTCCCACTCAGCCCCTGGAGCTCTAAGCAGGAGCCAATGCAGCTGCACTGGGGAAACTCTGCCTCTTTGTCAGTTTCTCTCTGGGACAGGAATCTTTGGTTTCTGGTTCCAGGGGGGGCTTGATGGCTGGGAGTTGGGTTGCCTTCGGGTAGTAGAGACCCCCTGGCTCACCCACAGTGAGGCACTGAGCATGCTCAGCCTGTCCCAGGGCCACAACAGCTCACTGAAAGTGCTCCCAGGCTGCTTGCCTCCTGTCTTCACACCTTCTGTGGGGGGGATTAAAGCAGGGCCACAAGGTCAAGTCTGTGCCCTGGGACTAGCTAGAGAAACTGGTTGAGGGTGGGAAGTGGGAGATGTTTATGTGTTCAGCACATCTGCTCCAGCCCAGCCTTTCCACCCAGTTCCCTGGTTCTACTGAGCTGGGCCTGGGTGGATTCTGTTCCTGTTGTTTTCGAGCTGCCGTGGCCAAGGGAGTCTCGTGGGAGAAGGACAGACACTCTGGAAACCAAAAGGAGCCTTCACCTCCATCTACCACTGTTGAAAGGGCTCTGCTGTAGTATCAGAGGTTGTTTATTCAATCCTCCAAGATTATCATTCCTCTGTGGTCCTGGCTGGTAGCCACATCCTGGGGACCAACAGGACAGGAATTGTGTGGAGACTCCAGCTATTCAGGGGGACTGGGAGTGCCCAATGCCACATCCCACCAGGGCACAGCCCCCAGCTCAGTCTGCTATCGCCTTTGCCAATTCCTTCTCCTTTTCAAAATAAAGGCTGAGAAGGGAATCTTGCCCCTGCAGTTAGTGTTGGGTATGGGGTTGGGGGGCTGCCCCGCAGCTTGGGGCGCAGGGCGGGGCAGCGGAGGAGAGAGGCGTGGGGGGGAGCTGGGCACATGGACTGGGCGTGAGCGGGCCGGGATCCGGTCCCAGCTCTGCTCGGGGATGGAGCGTGGGCAGGGCCTGTTCCTGTCTCAGTGCTGAGCCCCGGCTGTGGCCCTGCGCAGAGCGGGGCGGGTCCCGGACACGAGCTGCCGCCGCGGAGCAACACCAAGGCCGGGCCTAGCCCCGC